TTGATCTCTAGCAATTTCGTCTATCAATCAAGACCTGCTAGATTGAATCAATGTATGAAGAGTAACACATGAATGTTTGTTATTTGATTTCACTTTTCCATAATAGTTTTATAGGTATTTATATTTTTATGCAATTCATCATTCAACATTTATGACGAAAAAAATAAAATAAAAAACCATACATCCTAAGAATCTGAAGGACGGCACGTCCATCATAGCAACAGGTGGCAAATTACCTGAATCCGGAACTGAGTGTTCGAAAAGCACCTATCCTGAGCAAAGTTATTGAAAAATTGCACTTTCTTGTGCGGAAATTTGCACTCGATTTCGCGATTTGATTACGAGATATGAATCAGGCCGATACCAATTGAATGATAGATTTCTGAAACCTGCCTGTGCCACCCCTCAGTCTGAGCCAAATCCACGGCACACCGATTTATTTGCTGCTATTATTCCGGACATATACTTTTGTCATGTGATAACGAGTTGAAACAAGAAACAAATGAAATGGGATGATGTCGCCTTACCGAATATCCAAACGTGCCGCGATTCAAACAGTTGTAATTTAGTGGGAGAAAGTCAATAATACTTCCCAGAATATTGTGCCCCCTTCTGAAGATAATATCCGATGGACCAGTGTGAAACTCAACACGTGGATTAGAATACTTGTATAGTAGAACCATCGTCCACCTTTGATATTTTTTGCCGACATTCTGAAGTCATCCGCACTCATCCGCAATTGTTTGGGACCAGGGCCGGACTGAATTAGTTTACTCAGAAACAACAGAAAATTATTATGATAAAAGCAACCTGAATTATATTATCTGAATAGGTGTAGGTATGATTTGTTTTCTTGCCTACTTGTGAGCTACTCAGTGATTATGAAGTAAAATAGAAATAATTCCAAATGTGTATAGTATCACGTTTTCATAAGACGACTATATTATCTCGTTATACTTACAACAAGAACTGAGGGATGCCAAATATTTGCGATCTATTCTACTAAAGAACGTTACATTGTAAAATTCGAAATAAAATATATTCATTGACACACTTCATCTTCTTCATTGCTAAAATTAGAGCCCTCCTCACTATGCATCTGCCAAATTCATAATAAATCGATTCTGACTGTTCAGATGGGTAAGACCCAGATTTTCATGTCAGATATTCTTCAAATTTCAAAACTTTATTCACTTTCTCATGCCAATCGGAAGCACTGACATTTTCCACTCAATTAGGATATAACTCTAGGGTCGAAATTTGGGGTTATATTTTTTCTACGGATTATTTTCTTCAGTTGTCTCCAAATTAATTCTATAGGATTAAAAATACAAAATATGTGGGCAATCTGAAAACCGTATGATGATTTTGTTTGGCAATTTAGTCTATAACATTATACTTTCTTGAACTCTTTAACATTTAAAACCTCAAATAATTGGGCTCTGCTGTATTTTTCTTCAAAAGATGTTGAAAAATTTTGGATCTCTTCCTTACGATAAGCAATGTTTGGAATCTTCTCCTCGAGTCCACTAAGACTGGATATCGACTGAATCCGTCCCTGAAAGCCGCTACTCCACCAATCAGTGACTATAGAATCTATTTGGGTTGTAGGAGAGATATGGGCAACTTTATGGTTTGAAACGAAAATATCAAATATTCATCACAGCTCACGAGTATAGCTACGTCAAAAAGTCATTTAATCACATTTTCTGTCGTGGATTCAAGAGATGGGTGGACATAGCAAACAATTCAACGAGTTGTACCAGAATGTACTGGAAATATGTGGTGTAAAAACTGGAAAGTTGATTGATAGTAAACATTTATCAGTATTAATTAGAACTTATGTGTCGAGATATACAGGTTGTTTCCGAAATTGGAACGATGAATGATGTGGGTAGTAGAAGATATAAGACGAAACGAAATCAAAGTATGAATACAAGTACGAAAGTTTTTTGGAAGAGAATACATTTTATAGTTTGACTGGAATGTTTGTGAACCATTGATAACAGGTAAACAGCCGAACCAGAGCGTTTGCTTTTGTAATAAATAAAAATCAGTGAAGTAACCACTCATTGTGACTCACTTGACAGATTATTATGATAATATAAGTAAGTAGATATGAACAAGGCCTCAGACTACTTCACTTCGTTACAATTGTGTGTTGACATATTCTTCATGTCGTCAGAGAAAACATATTTTTTAGGTCCTATAGCAGTTGAAGTCCAACTTGAGCTCCAAGGAACTGAAAGTGTGGTCCAGCAACATAGGTAAATATGCACGACCGGGTGTGAAGTAGCACTTTATCGCCTGGATTTGTGGGCGTAAAGTAACACTTGACGCACTGAGGCGATAAAGAAGTACAGCGGGCCATAAAATTTTCCAGTGGGCGATGAAGTTGGTGAAGGGGCAGTAAAGTAATTTCACTGTTTTCACAGTAATTTCTAGTAGACTACCATTCGATGTTTCGTCGCCAATGACAAACATAATTTGGCCAAATGAATTCAAAATCACTGAAAAATTTCAAAATGACGTTAAATAAATGTCCGAAACGATTATGCTTCAGATGTTGAGTGTACTTCGAGCGTAAGTTGCTTAAATGGACCTAGGCGTATCCTACTTACATCACGCTGTGGTCCATTAAAGCCTACTTACGCCCTTGGAACATAAATAACTATTGTGTCAGTAATAGAAACGTTGACTTCAAGAGCTAATTTTGGAATTGAAGTTGACGAATTTTGAGTCGGTCGCAGAAAAAAGATATTTTTTGCTACCAGTGAAAAAATCGCAGAACTGTCAAATTTGAGTTGGGAATTAGGATCATGCTGGCAGAATACCGTGTTTCTGTTATTGAAATCTGTTTATAGAGTTGAGCTCTGAAACTTTGTTGATAATGATAATGATAAATCATCAGAATTGATGCTGCATGGAAAACTTCTTATTATCAAAAACTTCCCTGACGCTCTGATGTAATTTTTAATAATTTTCCCATTGTGTCGAGAGAACGCTGGTTCATTATTGGCCTTCTGCTGTATATTGATAAATTTCTTCCCGGAGGGCACATTGTGTGATTCTGAAAGGAACCAATAACCAATAGAGAGCTTTCAGGATTATTGAATGATCATTATACGAAGTTGGGAAAGTTGGTGAGGCGTTCAAAAACCGCTTAGAGAAAATCGGTACACAGCCGGAAAACTGTCGTTAAATTCAAGTATGGATATTGAAAGTTCTCGAAGTCGAACCAATTCGAGTTGTAGAGGATTCAACAACAGCAAGAACGAGAACTTTATTTTCAACAGATTTCTTCGTAAATAATAACTTTTTCAAATCATATAAATAATATGAATACAACCACAGAGTGACTCATTTTTTGTATTCTATTGAATAGATGAATGGATGAATTCTTTGGACCAGATGCTTTTCTTGATCAGAACAAAAATATTTCACTATAATGTGGTGTATATTTATATCTCCAGCATGGGTATGATATGCCGAATCTGATGAAATCGGGAACAAATCAGGTAAGCGTTCCAACCCAAATAACCAACCATAATAATGTTGTTTATACATGATGACCTAGCACATAAATGAAATTCACTCTCCTTTTTAGTTCCTAGGAGCTTTAGTTCAACTTTAGCTCCTAGGAACTAAACTTGTGTCAGTAATAGAATAGTAGATTGTTTTATTAGGATCAAAAGTGACACTTTGTTTGACAAGCGAATTTTGCATTTGCGAGGCGGAGCGTTTAGCGAAGCCGAGCGAAAGCAAAATTTGCGAGTCGAACAAAGTCACTTTTGATCCGAATGAAACATGCTATTTTTTCTGCAACCGAAACAATTAACTCGAATTAACACGTGAAGTGACCACCAAATAATGCCGTGCCATATGTATGCAATGCAACAAATATTGACAAATAATCCGTGTGGTGAGAATATTCTACCTGCATTAACAGCAGGTTAGGTTTTCAAGGATGTTAGAATTGTAATTTCAATATAAATACAACCACAGAGTGACATATTTGTGTATGGACCAGGTGCTCTAATGGCAAATACCGCGCCAGTGCCAGCTATAGGAACAAGACGTGGAAAATGTTAGGTTAGTGAGCATATCAACAATGATAATAGTGATTATTTATTCCTCTGTGTTTGACTTGATAATCAAATGAAGTTAAACAATATGTTGTTTGAGACAAAAAAACTATTGCTTGCCGTGATTATTCAAAAACAAGTTATCCTTCCCGAGAATAACGAATGAAATACAGATCAAGCAAGTATTTGAATCTTGAAGGCTTTCCTGATCAAAACAAAAATACTTGACTGAGATGTTTATAATTCCAATACTAAACTATAATAAGGTGTATTTATATCTCACGCATGGGTATGAAATGCCAAGTATGCTGAAATCGGAAACAAATCAGGTATGCGTCTCAACCCAAATAACCAACCGTCACAATGTTGTTTATTCTTGATGACGTCCAGTACATCCTTTTTAGATCCTAGGAGCTAAAGTTCAACCGAATTCGACTTTAGCTCCTAGAAACTAAATGTGTTGCCTAGCAACATACCTATTTTTGTGCCAGTAGTAGAAACGTCAATTCAAGAGGTAATTTTGGTATCAAAATGGACGACTTTTGTGTCGGTTGCAAAAAAACGTCAATTTAAGAGCTAATTTTGGTATTAAAATGAACGACTTTTGTATCGGTTGCAGGAAAATGACTATACTGTTCACTGCTCGCGTTAAAATGATACTGAGACGGTACGGTAAGTAGAAAGCAACCAAAACCTGCATGGACCGATCCTTTTATATCAATAATTTGGTCATTGTGAAATTCCAACAGGTTCTAAAACTGATGGAACTTCAGCAGCTGTCAGTGCTCGTTTAATAAGGTTGTTGATGGCGTGGTGTCTTGAGAAACGACCAGAACTGAATTTGCTGCTCAAAGCATGAGTTCCATTTTCTTCGACAGTTAAACCACATCTGCATAAGTGCGCAGATTGTTGAACCTAAGCGAAGACCAACAGCGATTCTGAATGATTATTGATCTTACAATCCAACAGAGTACCAAGGGATGCCGCTGGAAGAGCATTGAGCCAAGATTCCTTCGAGCAGACAGTCCTGAGACGAGCCTTATCCAGAATTAGCAGCTGAATCGAGGAGTTGTTTGTACGAAGAAATATACATAGGGGAATCCCAAGCACTGTGAACTTTCTTATCATCAGGTAGAGAAACTCTATTTTGTTCACCATTCAAATAATGAAAATCAATAATATTCGAAGAGTATCGGGTAAAACTGAAGCCATGAATGGAAGGGTACTATTATGAGAAGAAAGAGAAGCTGGCAATGAAATGGAAGTGGCCGCCGAACTCGATTGGTAAAGTTACTTGGTTCCAAGTAGAATCATCAAATTTGTTGTTAGTGATATTCTGTAATGTATCCTGTAGTATTGAATCACAGTCTCATAATTCTTTTTGACAAAGCCAAGTTTGGCTACATCTGAGGATGTATAAAAGTTTCGGTATAGCTAGACAGTTTTTCAGAAGAAAATAATCTATTTGAGAGGGAAGCTCATTGAGGCGGGTAGACATTAGGGCAAGAGACTTCGTCTATATATTTATATCCATTTTTTTATGTTCATAATTATATCTGAGAATATTCCTTTTCAAAACAAATCTTTCCTCTATAATATTAGAGTATATGGATAAAAAGTCGAAACTGCTTGAAATAACTCACCTTGTACCATTGACTGTTTGCCAGGAACCTTCAGTGATGGTGGAATTATCAGGATATGGAGGTAGCTGATTCTCCTGTACCACCTGAAAATTCATTTGAAATAACTATGATGGGTGACGGGCGAGGTGACGGTGACACATAATGGTCTCAGAATGACTTTTTGAATTATTTATCTCTTCTATTATATTTTGAATGATTTGGACCTCAAACGTTTGGTATACCACAATCAGACAAATATAATTGTTGAATAGTATCGCCGAAATTTCATTATCTATCAACTGAAAATATTTATTCACGACCGCGCGTGAAGTAGGACTTATTGACCGCCTGGTTTTGCGGGCGTAAAGTGGCACCCGGTCTATAAAAGCCTATTTAACGTCCTTGATATACCTATCAAACATAAATTACTCCGCTTGAAAAGTAAGTTAAGATTCGTTATCGAATGATGACATTGTAAAGTTTCATAATATGCTAGTATACTTATATATTTTTTTCTCGTTTTACCTTGAGATAGAAAGTATCGTAATTCATGTTTTTGATTGGAATCCTTCAAATGTTAGTCCGGGAGTTCAGAATGAGGAGAATACATCAGTTTCAGTTAGTTTCAATAGTAATTGGTTACTTCATTGATTTTTGAAGATATCTCTGTTGTTATTGGAAATAAAAACAACAAATGATCTATCAATCAATTTGCTGAAAGATTTTTTTTCAAATTTGTTATATTATACACAGTACGGTGTGTCATTTGAAATAATGAAGTTGACAACATTTTCAGGAAAACGTGGCAACACTGGCAATAGCATTTCCAAATTCGAAATCATCCTTTTCAAAGATTAAATAAGGTCTATATAGCATGACTTGTTTATTGAACGAATGCTTGAAATCATTCGAAAACATAATCATTTGTGGTGATATCATCATCGATAATCTCAATTGGAAACAAAATTCACAGAAAGAGAAAGAAGCCAAACTATTTAATGACCTCTTAGATAGTTATCATCTAAAATTCAAAAACTGCATGCCAACTCGCGAATTTATAGATAGGGGTGGTATATTTTCTAAATCTCAAATTGATTATTTTGCCACAAATATCGATTATTTGTCATTTGAGGAAAAAGTCGAACCTTTTCATATAAGTGACCACCATGGGTTGCTATTCACTTTGAATATAGATAATCCTTCAACCAATTCGAAATCAAAAACTATCATTGAAAAAAGAGTCTGCAGAGATTATAACATGAATCAACTGCGACATTTTCATTCTGCTGAGAACTATAGTGCTGTATATGATTGTACTCCGGATGTTGACCTCGCATACGAGAATTTCTTTCAAATTATTGCTTACAGTCTTGATCTAAAACATGCCCGTCGAGATATATAACATACAATAAAATATCAAATTCAAAAAATAATACATGGATTTCTGAAGAGTTGAAATTCGAGAGCAGACAGTTGAAAGATTTTTATAGGCTTATCAGAAATTCAAATGACCAATTCTTATGGAGCGATTATAAAGACAGAATGAAAAAGCACAAGAAAAACATAAAAAATACCAAAAAAGATCACTACCAAAGTAGATTAGTGAATAAGAGTGATGCACATGAGACACAAAAAGAAGTATGGAAAATCGTCAATGAAAAAGCAGGGAAAAATTCATCTAACAACTACCCCAAAAAAATTATCATAGACAATAAAGTAATAAAAGACCCTAAATCAATCTCCAACAATTTTGCGAAGTATTTTTCCCACACAGTTAGCGAAAATATCACTAAACATTTTGGAAATGATGCTGGAAGTGGTAGTACGGGAAATCATACGATGAATACTTTCTATTTTCTTCCCGTTGTCCCTGAAGAAGTGCTTACATCAATTAAACAATTGAAAAATACATCCTCAGTAGGTTTTGACTGCCTGTCCACAAAAATCATCAAATCAATAGCAGACTTCATTTCTGAACCATTATCATACATCATAAATCTATCCATTGAAAAACAAGTTTTCCCAAATATGTTGAAAATTGGAAAGATAATTCCTATTCACAAAAACAGTGACCATTTCTCAATAGCAAACTATAGACCTATCACAATTCCTTGTGTTATCAGTAAGATCATTGAAAGATGCATATATAACAAGTTATTCCCTTTTTTTACCAAATATAAAATAATAACAGACTGTCAAAATGGCTTTCATCCTGGTAGATCAACGGAGGGAGCAGCGGCAGACTTTATGGAATATGTGTACAGTCGCGTAGACCAGGGCAAGTATGTCGCTGCACTCTTCTTTGATCTATCTAAAGCCTTCGACTCTATTAATTTCGACATTGCCTATGACAAGTTATATGCCGTTGGCATAAGAGGAGATATGTTATCATGGATAATATCTTATCTCAAATTCCGCAAGGTTTTTGTAAACATGCCTGAAGCGAGATCAGATATGTACAGTGTTGACCTTGGAGTTCCACAAGGCTCGGTCCTAGGTCCACTAATCTTCCTATTAGTTATAAACGATCTACCATTTCACGTAAAATCTGAATGCATAGTATTATTCGCAGACGATACCTCCATCGCAAAGGAAGCCGAGAACCTTTTGAAACTCCAAGATGAGCTGAATTTAGTTGCCAATGGGTTCACAAATTGGTGTAAAAATAACAAACTACTTGTAAACTCTGAAAAGACTGTTCTCATTCAATTTTTTGGGAAAAAATGCGTCGACAAACCTCTGAATGTTACTGTGAATGATGCAGTCATTGCACCTTCAGATGTCACAAAATTCCTTGGTACATATATAGACCCAGGACTAACTTGGGGCAATCACATCGACTACGTGTGCAAAAGACTGAACACTAGTTTTTATGCCATACTGCAGCTTAAGAGTGTTTTGGATAAAAAATCCTTGATAAATGTGTATTATGCTATGGTACATTCAGTGCTGAAATACCACATAATTCTGTGGGGTGCCAGTAGTGACCTAAGTAGAGTATTTGTTGCACAAAAAAGAATTATTCGGCTAATATTCAACCTCAAGAGAACAGATTCATGTAAACCTTATTTCAGGGACAACAAAATACTGACTCTTCCGTGCATATATATCCACAGCTTAATTACCTTCATTAAGAAAAATGAAGCTTCAATATCAAATAATGGTCAACATCACAGATATCCGACGAGAAATGGGGATTTATTAAAAATGTCGAAGCATAGAACCAAACTTTTCGAAAAATCACCCATTTTCATAGGATCCAAAATTTTCAACTGTCTGCCCATCGAGATCAGGTTTCTGTCAAATCCGAAAAGCCTGAAGCAAAAGACGAGACAATTTCTCAGTGATCAGGGATTTTATTCCATTGACGATTTTATCAATCATAAAAAATACATTATAAATAAATAAGATGATGTATTCTGTATATATATTTGCATATATTTTCATGTCATTTATATACTATTTTGTTTCGTACAGTTTGTTTGTTATTTATTAATACTTCATGTGAATGTATATCATGCTTTTTTCATGGTTTTGTTGACTTTTCCTATACCAATGTAAATTGGTCTATTGGATGAATAAATATTCTATTCTATTCTATTCTAAACGGTTGGCAAGATATTCACCTATGAAGAACTAATTCACTAAGTACTTATACAGGCCAGCGTAGCCTCGTGTTTGAAGCGTCAATATCGAGTTACTATCCACGTTGGATTGCCGGTAGGTGGGTTCGATTGCCACCACGACCTCAGGAATTTTTCTGATGGCCTAAGAAAGTGTTTGAGATCACACGTTGAAAGGTAAGACCCCGTCATTCCTTGTTCGCACAAGTCTCTTGAAGACTTCTGAGGGTTGCTCGTAAGGGGGCAACCGAATGATTGATGAGAACAATTTTAAAAAAAAAATTTATTGAGTCAAAGGTAGGTAATTGATTTTTTCTTCAATAAGCTCAATACCTTGGGAGCGATCAGGGCGGCCAGTATCGACTAAATGGAGAACTAAAATTCAGTAATCTAATAGGCCAAAAAGAACAGACTAAATGGAGAACTAAAATTCAGTAATCTAATAGGCCAAAAAGAAGGTTCTTGATATCTTGAAAAGTGCCCAATAACAACCATGAACCAAATAACAGTGAATGAAGTATCATCGTCTTTGTAATGACACGAAATTACGTCAAATTTTGAATGAATGATACATATTATTATGATTCGAATATATGGAAATTGCATCAATTTGGAAGCACAAAAATATCCGTTCGAAGGTAATCTACACCTTCTCCAGTTTTATTTTAGAAAACGTCAATTTCATTTCAGAAAGCGTCAATTTTATTTTAGAATAATCACTCGTATTTGAAAATAGTACATTGTACATCAAGGAACAGAAGTTTTTTTCCAAGGTGCGATTTGTAGCTCGAGGGCAAAGCCCTACAAATGTAGGATTCAAATATAAAAAAGACGGTTATTGGATGAGAACACGGATATATCCATAATAAGAGCAGAGTTTTTCAGAAAGTTTCATATGAAAATCGCAAAAAATAAAATAATATGATATTCATTTTGACATAATATCACTCCAAATAAAGTCAGGAAAAAATAAAAACGAAATCGCGGATATTCGTTATTTTTTTTCAAATATCTTCGTAAGTATTCAGAATTTCCAAGCTTTCGAAGCGGCATTTTGATCAGCATCAAATTGCGCAACTTTTGCCATTATTATTATTATTATTATTTTTATTATTATTTGAAGGACCCTGTATCTTTTACGGTTTACGAGATCCCAAGGATGAACCTCGAATTCCAGCCACCCTGTACACACATTTTATGTCATTGACCTTCAAGTGGAAACTGTGTAGTAGGTCAAAAGTATCTTCTAGATTAATACCTTGGGAGCGACGGGAGCGACGTTGTTCTCGATGACGGGCAGAGCAACGGGCGGCCGACCTCCCATCAGCAGTGCTCCCAAACTGTCATCGTTCATCATGGCCGCTCCCACGCGAATTGATATGTAGTCTTCGCTCTGGAAACAATGGAAATGAACGGTGTATAGATCAGAAAATAGATTAGTTTAGTTAGAGGATCCAATTGGGATGAACAGGGTGTCCGACAAAAGAAGATCAATCTATTTCTCTACATATTTAAGATATTAATTAATTTATTTATTTAATATTAATACATCCAGCAGGCTTACGCCCATTTACAGGTGTATGTAATAATACATGGTTATTAGTTGAATCGCTAAAAATATATATCTATATCTATACATAACTCGAAAAGAATATAAACTAAGATATGTGAAACTAGTTCCTCAAGGCACTAAATAGTCTATGCTTGAATTGAGACAGCGAGAGAAAAAATATATCAATACTTTGTAAATTGTTGTAACTTCGGCACATTGTTGTAAGGGGACAATGGAAGTGATGTTGTGTGTTGAGCACAGCAATGCGGAACGTTATAAATATCTGATCTTGACACGGATCGTGGTACATTGAAATCAATCAGAGAAAGTAATGAGGATGAATCGATATGATTATGGATTATTTTATGCATAAAAGTTAAATCGATTATTTCGCGATGTTTTTTAAGAGAGAATAAATCGAATTCGTTCAGCAATAGGTCATATTCTATGCTTGTCTCTGTCGACCTCAAACACTTATACAGGGTGTCTGGAAAAGGTATTTACAAAAACATACCACATATTCCTCAGACCAAAATAAGTCGAATTAAGTAAAATTACCTTAGTACAAAGTTGCATCGTTTGGGCTCCAGAGGACCTTGAAATTACAATTTTTAAATAATTTTTCCCATATAAATTCAAAATGGCATATGCGATTTCGCTGAAATGTGGTGCGATGATAGAGTTTTATGTGGCGAAAAAAATGGTGTCAAAATTTTGTCCCATAATAATACATAGGCGTAGAACTTGATTTTTCAAATAACTTGCACCATCAAAAATTCTACGCCAATAGATGAAAATGAGTTTGAGTATGAAATTTAGATTGCGCAACTCATTTACTAAAAAAAGGTACTCTTGATGAGACTCGATTGCTCTCATGGTTTTGACGAAATTTGCATTTTAGTAATTTTGGAACATTTAAACAATAATTATTGAAATACAAACTTTGTCAAAACCATGAGAGTAAATCGAGATCAAGGGTACTTTTCTGTTTCAAATGAGTACCCAATCCAAATTTCATACTCAAACCCCTTCTCTGCCATTGGCGTAGAATTTTTAAAGGTGCAATTATTTAAAAAATCAAGTTCTACACCTATGTATTATTATTAATTTTCTTCGACGTATAAATCTTCGTATGCGTGAAAATGGTGAACATTTTGAACAATTTTTGTTAAATCTCTATTAATTTTGATTATGTTCGAAAAAAATATTTTCGTGAAACCTATACACTCTAAATTATTAAAACAGAAATTTAGCGAAAACTATGAGAGTAATCGAGTCTGATCAAGAGTACCTTTTTTAAAGTAAATGAGTTGCGCAATCTAAATTTCATACTCAAACTCCTTTTATTCTATTGGCGCAAAATTTTCGACGATGCAATTATTTAAAAAAATCAAGTTCTACGCCTATGAATTAATATCGGACAAAAATTTAACATCATTTTTATGTCACATGAAACTCTATCAATTTACCAAATTTCAGCAAAATCGCATAATGCCGTTTTAAATTTATATGGGAAAAACGATTTAAAAATTGTAACTTTAAGGCCCTCTGGAGCCCAAACAATGCAACTTTGATCTGAGGTAATTTTACTTAAATCGACTTATTTTGGTCTAAGGAATATGTGGTATGTTTTTGTAAGGACCTTTTACAGACACCCTGTATATCCACATCACGGTTCTATTCAAACGTGAAATCTATCGGGTTTCGTGAAAAATTAATTTGACAACAGCAAATGAAAGTTGTTGTCAACTCAGTTTCCGCACGGACCAGGGTGTCCAGTTCGATTTCATTTCATCAGTAAATACCTTTTCAAAAATTCAGATCTATTTTATGCTATGCGAATTCCAAGAACGGATAATGAATTAAACCTATGACGTCAAAACATTATGTAATTTTAGTGAACAGAAAAGTAACGTATTTCCAACAAAATAGAAAGAAAGAAAACAAACATTCTCATGAAAAAATAAACATTCCAAAGCCTCAATTCGAAAATACTCACGAATATCACAAAATACAGTTACATTATGAGATTTGAGTAGATAAAAAACCAGGAACGAATGGTAGAAATGAACAACAAAAATACAAACCTAATAAAAAAATTAAACGTAAGACAAACTGTTATAACAGAGGTATATAAGAAATTGAATTTGATCTGAATCAGATGAAGTATTGTCTTTTTTTTTGGTTTTTATATATCATTAGTACCTAAAGGTAAATTCATTACTTGAATTCTGATATTCCAAACACAGCGTGCAAAAATATCATGCAACTTATAAGTGTACGTGATTAACTAAAGATAGTAATATAGGTTAATTATAATGATGAATAGGTGTCAAAATATTTTTCAGTAGGTTATGAAATGTTTCAGTAGATCAGTAGGTCAATATACAAATCGGGAGATCTACTGAAAATTTGGTAGAATTGGCAACCCTGCAGTAGAAGAAAAGTACTTGCTTTAAGAAATATTATTACTAAAATATCACAACTCAAACGTATCACTATGATATTCCTGCAAACTGTAATAGGGTCTATCAGAGAGGAACTTTTTGACTTTCTTCCTGAATTGACAGTCATTCAGACTTACTGATCTAATATCAACTGGCAAGTGGTTGTAAATTTTTCCACCATCATAGTATATGGAATCTTCAATAAACTCTCTTGTGGGTAGAGGAAGTTTCAAACTGAAATTTCTGTTACGCGTGTTATGATGGATGGGAGTTGTAGTGAATTTTAACTTGTGCTCATTTATCAGGCAAACAGATTCCAGAATGAATAGTGCAATCACTGTCAATATTCTATTATTGGAAAATAAAATTCTGCAAGAATCTCGAGGTTTGACATTACACAAATACCTTATCGCTCGTTTCTGTAGAATTAACAGAGTTTTTAAAGACGTTGGACTGCACACTCCCCAAAAAGGTATTCCATATTGTAATTGGGAATCTATTAGTGAATAATATACCATCTTGGCAGTAAAGAATCCTAATTCCCTAGAAATCACTCTCACTGCATAACATCCAGAAGAAATCGTACCAGTGAGTATCCTGACGTGGTTACCAAATTTCAGATTTTTGTCGATCAACAATCCCAGAAATCATTTCTACTTTCAATAAAATTATCACCAAATGTGAGTCATCAAGGGAGGATCTGAATAATATTGTACTAGTTTTAGATATATTGAACCATAGAATATTGGCGTCACACCAATCTTCCACCTTTTTCAAATCAGATGATATCATTTGATGCAGATCTCGAGGATTCCTACTATTCCATAATATAGTAGTATCTTCTGCGAATAGAGTGATCTTTCCAGTTATATCAATTTTCGTGAGGTCGTTGATATACAATAAAACAAGTACAGGTCCTAACACAGATCCCTGTGGAACACCATGATCAATATTTCTCTTCTTGGAGAGTTCTGTCGTTTTCACCACTTGATTTCTTCCTGATAAATATGATTCGAACCATCTGTATGTCATTCCTCTGCATCAATACTGATGAAGCTTTCTCAGCAGTATTCCATGATCAACACAGTCGAATGCTTTTGATATGTCACAAAACACCGCCGCGGAAATCTCACCTGCATTTATTTCCGAATAAACTTTATACAGAAATGAGCATATTGCATCGTGAGTGTTTTTGTTTTTTTGAAAATCATACTGATTGTCACTGATAACATTGTGGGATTTCAAAAATTCGACGAGTCGTTTTTTTACCAGTTTTTCAATGATTTTGGCAATAGTTGGAATTAAAGAGATCGGCCGAAGATTAGATGGATTATCTATGTCTCCGCCCTTATGCAAAGGGATGACAACAGAAGTTTTCAGAAAATCTGGGAAAGTGCCGGACTGGAATGAAACATTGATATGCGCAACCAACACAGAGAGGGCATTCAATGGAAGATTTTCAACAATTTTCAGGGAAATTTCGTCATAGCCAGTTGAATATTTTTTTTATGTCCTTCAAAATTTCAATCAACTCATGAATGTTGGTATCATATAGAATTAGATTTCTTTCAACTCTCAAATGTTCGAGATTGACTAACGGATCATATGGGACAACAATTCCAACAATTGACCATATTCAATATGATGCATATAACAGGGTGTCCCTAGACCAGTGGGACAGTTAAATATCTTCTGCACCAATAGGAATTTTCAAAATATTATAATTCCACATCATATCGCATCATGAGTGCTATCTTCAGGAATGACTATATTTTCTACGAGGGGCACAAGAAAGGCTCACAAAATCGAACATCAATTTTTTCAAATGGAACACCCTGTATTTTATTGCATTTTCATAATCTCCTTGAAGAGCTGAATTCAACGACCTAGCACACTTGGGCTCTAGCGGGAATGATTTCCGAGATATAGGGTGTGGAAAATCGAGATTTTTCATTTTTGGGAATTTTTTGTGTCAAAACTATTCATTATTGGTCGAAACGGCTTACATGTCCATATCTTAACTTTTGATTTACTATTCACTCGTATTTGAATTGAACAAATACAGGGTGGTGTAGAATTCTCAGTTTCAGTCGGAATTCCACACCACCCTGTATTTGTTTCAATTAAATACGAGTGAATAGTGAATCAAAAGTTGAGATATGGACATGTAAGCCGTTTTGACCAATAATGAATAGTTTTGACACAAAAAATTCCCAAAAATGAAAAATCTCGATTTTCCACACCCTATATTTCGGAAATCATTTCCGCTAGAGCCGAAGTGTGCTAGGTCGTTGAATTCAGCTCTTCAAGGAGATTATGAAAATGCAATAAAATACAGGGTGTTCCATTTGAAAAAATTGATGTTCGATTTTGTGAGCCTTTCTTGTGCCCCTC